ACTCCTCAGACGGGTGGAAAGAGGGGGGAAAATTCAGCAGAAGGCCGCAACGGCGCCTGAAATTATTGGGATCGTACTTGCCGGATAAGAAAGCCACCATCAGGCCCTGTCACCGACAGCGCGAGGGTGGTTGAACGCTAATACGTAGATTGTAACACTAGTGCAGACTTAATAGAATTTCGCATTTTGGTGGCCATGAACCCTCAGGATTCTTCGGGCAGGTTGCTTCTTCTGATGCTCGTTCGTTGCTGCAAGGATTGGCGGTTGACGCGTGGCTTTTGGCGTTCAGCCGGCGCGTTCCCCAGTTGGTATTGTGTTGCGAAGCATCAAGACAACATCACCAGCCCTTCTTGTGTGACTCAAAACCGTCCAAAATGGCCGGGGAATTAAATTCGGTTTTTTTGCTTTTTTTGGAACTTTTTTGGGGTTTAGGGCGTAGGGTTTAGGGTTTAGGGTATAGGGTATAGGGTTTAGGGTTTAGGGTTTAGGGTTTAGGGTGTAGGGTCTAGGGTCTAGGGTTTAGGGTTTAGGGTTTGGGAATTAGGGTTTAGGGTTTGGGGTTTAGGGTTTAGGGTTTGGTTCAGGGGTCCTACAGCTTCTGCAAGCAGGGTGAAGGGTTTAGGGTTTCGGGTTTCGGGTTTAGGGTTTAGGGTTTTGGGTAGTAGTACCAGTAGCAAGGACAAAAAACAAAAAAATATCCCAAAAAAACAATCCTAAAAAAAATAGACCTCCGTCCAAACTTGCGGCAACTCACCCTAAACCCTGAACCATAAACACTAAACCCTAGAAGACACTCTGCGCGCGACCGGTGTCTTCAAAACAGTTGGCACTTGGAGTTAGAACCAGCTTGTGCCCGCCGGCCGACTGATCCGCCTCATGTGGTACAACTACTGTCCAGCTGACCCTAAACCCTAAACCCTAAACCCTAACACCCTGAACTGGATGACTCTTCAACCAACCCGACGTGGGATGCATGTGGTCATTGTGCTTCTTGGCAGAGATTCGCCTTTGGGTGGTATGTTGTACGATTTGAGTCATGGTTGTACTGGTTTGTTCATTGGTTGCTTTGCGCGTTGGTATCGTACGTTTCGGGTTGACGTTCCGCCGCCCCGCCGTCCCCTTCATGGACCGGGGTTGGCGGCAGCGGCGTTAGCCCTTACATCCGGGCACCGTGATCCTAGCTGTAGCTGCTCCGGGCGGCGGGCCGATCACGCAGAAAACGCTGTAAATACCATGGTTTTCGTGCGGTTGTGGACATTTCCATGTTGAGGCCACCACATGCTCCCTCAAGCCAGCAATGCCTTGAGGCCGGAGCCGCTGATGCTACTGGGGGGCGCAAGGGTGCGCGTCATCGAGGTTTCGTTTCTCGTGGGGATCCCGGGGGCGAGCATCAGCTGCATCAGCGGGACTTTGGGGCGGAGGGCGTGGGTTGCGGGCAGAGGCAGGGCCTTGTATAACATTGCCATTGCATGGTGCGCGTCCCGACCTTGTGGTTGTGATTCTTCTTCTTCTTCTTCTTCTTCTTCTTCTTCTTCTTCTTCTTCTTCTTCTTCTTCTTCTTCTTCTTCTTCTTCTTCTTCTTCTTCTTCTTCTTCTTCTTCTGCTTCTTCTTCTTCTTCTGCTTCTTCTTCTGCTCCTTCTTCTCCTTCTTCTTCTTATTATTCTTCTTGGTCTTCTTCGTCTTCTTCTGCTTCTTCTTCTCCTTCTTCGTCTTCGTCTTTTTCTTGTCCCCAGCCCTCTCCGCGCAATCGAACGCCCCTGAAACCCAGGCCGTAGCCCTGGTTGGCACGGAGCGTGCCCGGATGTGGGCTCTTGGCTCTTAAGGTAGCACGACAATTGGCAAGAGACTGGCAATTTGCAACAGTCCTCAACTTCTTGGATGCCACAGGCCCCAAGATAAAAGATGTCCGGACCTGCAAAGACTTTGAAAGAAGATGCATCCTCAATGTTCTGACAAGTTTGCACACATCAAATCATATGGTGACTTAACAGCTCGGCCAGGCACCAAGTTGCACAACATTCTTGCTTCTCAGAGACCTCGATATCAATTCCTGAAGATTTCGGCAGATCGGGCTGTGCAACATCAGATCTGAGCAGCGGAAACATCAATGCAACACAGCACCAGCCGATGTTGCGCAAAAGCACACCACAAGCCCGCTCGAACTCACAAGAAGAAAACCAGGATATGAAGCTGAAGCTACGGTGCCTGAAAACGGTAGCCTGCGTCGCGCTGTTCAACTGGTTGCTGACTACACCAGGAGAATTACAACCAAGACACGACAACAGAAGCGCTAGTGCTACAGCATGGACCGTAAACTACAGACTCACACACACACACACACATATATATATATATATATATATATATACATACATACATACATATATATGAGAGAGAGAGAGAGAGCCATCTTTCGGGTCTATTTGCCGCTTCCTTTTGTTTCTTCTATTCAGTATTCATTTAAATGTTTGAATAATCGAAATTTTCAATTTATATTGAGTATATTAAAAATCGATTTGATTTATTTAGATTCTTTAGAGAATCTGAATCATCTAAATCTATCGAATTGGATTATTTTGATGATTTAGATTCACCGGTGGATCTAAATAATCTAAATGATCTAAATCTAAATCAAGTTAGGCCTCCCCCCTGGGAAGCCACCCCTGTTTGAATAATCTAAACAATCTAAATAATCCAAATAATCTAATTCGACCGATTTTTGGTTTAGATTATCTAGATCCACCGGTGAATCTAAAAAATCAAAATAATCCAATTCGATAGATTTAGATTCTTTAGAAGATTCAGATGATTTAGATTATTTGGATTATTTGGATTATTTTGATTATTTCGATTAATCTAAAGGGTGGATTTCTCCTGGGAAGCCACCCCTATTCGATCAATCTAAATAATCTGAATAATCCAAACAATCCAAATAATCAACTCGACCGATTAGATTGTTTAGATTATTTAGATCCACCGGTGTTTGCACCTCCGCTCCGGAGACTTTGAAAAAATTGGCTTTTGGAGCTTTAGCACAGATCAGCGTTTTTGAATGACTGGCGCTAAAGCGACTGGGACAGTACTCCCTTCAAGTGCAGAAGACGCTGCATTGTCCCAATGGATTTTAGGTACGGAGGTGCAAAAACGCTGTACTGTTCCAATCTTTGGGGATACTGGGATACAGAGGCTGCACTGATGCAGAATTGCCCCAGACTCTCCAAATATTGAGACCGTAAAGGGTTTCCCAGCACCGCTCACCTGCTGAGCTTGAAGTTTCTAGATGCTGTCGGAACCAACCCAGTTTAAATCGTTTACATGAAGTGTGTAATCTTAGCCTAACAAGTGAGATCATTTTTAAAGTTATGCTCCAATGTGAGTTTTAATCCAATGGTAACTAGTCTTGAATTACAACATGAAAAAGTAGCCCATGATTATAACAGTTCTGGTGCGTCGGTTGTCCTTCATTCTCTTCCAATGTTTGTTCCAAACAGTATATTTTTACAATAGCACGTGCCCTCCAGCTGAAACAGCCATTGAATCGGCACATGCGTATTGGATAGTGTCTATTGGTTAAACTGATGGGAGTAGAATAGTCCTGGCGGCAAGAAGGTTCAGGTACAAACAGCACGTAGAAGCTGTTCTTTTGCTTTCGGAAAAAGGAGAATCAGATACCGGAATAGGTATAGCTCTCGCAAGAGATAGCATCTACACGACAGAATTTCGTTCGGGATATATCAGAAAGCAGCCGAAAACGTGGGTGCATGAGGGGGGGAGGGAGGGGGGTAGCATATATATATATATGCTTGCAGGTACCAAATCTTCAAATCTTGCTTTGTTGTACCCAAAAAAGTGTTTAAACCCCATTTGGGTCCCTACAGTGCTAGCAACCTTTCCCGGCTTATTCGCTCCCGTATGGGGAATAATATAAGCCACCAGAGGTGCGTCTTGGGGGGTGTTTGGCTTAGAGGTGCGTCTTGGAGGGGGGTGTTTAACCCCATTTGGTACTGTCCCTATTTTCTCTTCTTTCTTACAGCGATCGATGTGTACATGCAAATGCCAGAAATGGACTACCAGGATCTGGTGGTTTGTTTCTGGTGTTACCGACTTCGTTCTTATGGCGATGTGTGTGTGTGTGTCTGCGAAATGCGAATGTGGCTTGCCTGAATCCCAGGAAATAGGGACAGTACAGCACTTTCGCCTTTCGAGACGGCAGAAGTGCTGTACTGTCTCTATTTTTTGCTTGCCTGGGGTCTGAAACAATCGTTTTAACAGGAAAACCCTCGGTATTTGCAGCGTTTTCTGCATCTGCATGTATAAGAAAAAGCATATATATATATATATATATATATTGAGGAGATTCTGAGAAGCCTTGGGGGTTTCTGAATGAGACACGCTCTGCCGCCCAGGCCCCCTTTTCCTACCCCAACTTTGCAACAAGAATCTGCTTTTCGTTTAGATTGAAAAGGACATGCAATGACATGCACACCCTGCAAGTGGGTTGAAGCAGTCCCACCAAGACCTCAACATGTTCCGGGCACCTGAACACCTCAAGAAGCGAATGATGAGTGCTCTGGAATTGTCGCTTCATCATCTCAACAATGGCTGGGATGTTGAACTGAGATGAAATGAAAAACATCGGGACATGAAAAAGGCGGTACCAGCTGAAACGGAAGCTGGCCCCAACCGCCCCCCCGATTGCCCTCCCCCCCCCACCCCCTGCCCCGACCCCGGAGCTTCCAATCACTTCAACAATTTCAACATTCGGGCCCCAAAGCCAGGTCATCACACAGTCCACGAAAAGGTCCCACCAAACACAAAAACCAGCATCCTCGGAATGGGACTCGATGAAATAGACCGGGCATGGCATCCTCATCTCCGCACAGCGACCTTTGCCAAGACTGTGTTGGGAACTGTGGGCGAGCGGAGCTTTGGTGCAATGTCGCTCCAGAAGCTCCACGCAGCCACAACTACAGACATAGGCTGTGGGCTCTCGAAGTCTTCAAGCGACATCTCCTGCTTCGAGGGCCTGGGTACTCAAAGATGCCAATTGGCATTGGCGGCCTTGGCGCACAACTGCACACGCAAGCGGCAGGAACCGGCCCACGGCGAAGGCCAAATCTGCCTGAGAAGGCGGACTGACCCCCCAAGACTAGAGTCTGTGATCTCTCCCTCTTTTTTTCTGAGAGAATGTGTTTTTTTGTTTTTTTGTGTGGAAGAGAGTGCTTTGTGAGTGTTAAAAAGGGTGAGCTCGTCAAAGCGCTCACCCCTCGACGAATCTGAGGCTTGCGCCGCGCCCGCCTCCTTCATATATCGCACAATTTGAGAGAACAGCAGATCACACAGCAAAGTTAAAGTCAGCACACGCAGCAAAGAGATCACGCAGCATGCCTCGAGTAAACGAGCAGTGGCGCACTCTGCTTCATGTCACCAATCCTCGAGAGTGCGCTGCAGCAGCTGGACATCGCCATTCAGGTCGCCGCAGACCACGACCTGAATTGCGGGCTTTGGGATTCGCGCACACAACATCGAGGTTAGTGAAGGTTCTGCCATGTGCTGTCCCCCCCCCCGCTCTTGTGCGCCTTCTTCCATGGCCTCCAAGGCAGTCTTTCAAGGCCAACGAAAAGGAAACTGTCGCATGCTCACACACACACACACACAAACTACAAGCAGAAACACACACGCACACCCACCCACCCACCCACCCACCCACCCACCCACGCACCCACGCACCCACGCACCCACGCACCCACGCACCCACGCACCCACGCACCCACGCACCCACGCAAGCACGCAAGCACGCAAGCACGCAAGCACGCAAGCACGGAAGCACGCAAGCACGCAAGCGTGCAAGCACGCAAGCACGCATGTGCGCCGCGCTCGCTCGCGTGCACGCGCGCGGGCCGCACAAACCAATGCAAAGGTGGGCACAAACAACTCATTCAGGATGTCCGAACGAGGAACCAAATTAGGAACCATGCAGAGCGAGGAACATGCACGATACCCAAACAAAATGAGCACTGAACCAGCTGGCTGATCAGGCCACGCGTCACTGAAGAAACCAAAGTGTTTTCGTTGGTGGCAGATTCTGGTAGTTTCTGGGTGCACACACAAACACTCTCGTAACACCGGCTGAACACAGTGCACCACTAGCAAGAACCCGATGCAACCAAAAAAAGTTGATTGCCATGTACGAATTTGCAAGAACTCAATGGATCACTGTCGGGTAAGTCCCCCCGCCAGCGTTGATATAGTAGCACTCCGGCATGCATCGAAGATGCGTATGTGCTTGCAACGCAGTCAAGTAATTGGGCGAAACACTAGGTACTCGAGATCGAAACAGGATCGTCAAACAGATACTGCGAAAAAAAGGTACACAAGTAAGCCATCGGCGCAGCAGACCTGATAGACGACATCTCCATTCGTCCAGACATTCAAATCATACATCCAAGTGAAATATATGATTTCCCTGATGTTTCCCTGTTCGTCTTAATTTTGCTCCGATTTCATCCAACAAGAGTGTAGTGCCAATTTTTTGCGCTTACATCCCTTTGAACTTTCGCGTCTCTAAGTCGCGTTTCCTGCTACTCCCTTACTTTAGCGCTGCGCTTGAGTGAAACCATGACAAACTTTGCCCGTAATTTCCCTCGGCTTCTCTCTGAATGAGGTTCTCAAGATTTTCTTCTCATTTGTCATTGAAGCAGTGCATCTTCGATAGATACTACCGCTCGCATTTACCATGAGCAGTCCTGCAAGCAGTGGCCAGAAGTGAATGGTATTTCATTTTCAGGCCTCCAAAACATAGTCCAGGCCAAAGTGAGGTGCCTAATTTGCCTGATACTTCCCTGTTCTGGGTTTCTTCTGCCGGGTAGTTCAGGGAAGCGTTTCCTTCAAACCCGCGTGTAGTGGCAGCTATTCCCCCAAATCCCCGCAAGCTTTTGTGTCTCTTTATCCATTCTCTCTTGCGCTCAACACTTGCTTTTCCTGTCGTTTCGCTCGGAATCCCTTTGAGCGAGGTGCTTTCGAGGTTTTCTTCTGACTTGTCATTGAAATGTCAGTGAGCAGCCCTGCAAGTAAGACGGCTTTCGGATGTTTCCGGGGCTGCCAAGCAGTTGATTTAAGCATGATGCTCGTCACTGGTCAGCGGATTGGGGAGCTCTCATGGTTAAATTCAGCCCTTGCCCGGAAACACGAGGGATGCTTTCTATATAGTCAAAAAGTATTGCCCGACAATTTAGCGCTTGCGTATGCTTCCTCCAGAACTTTCGTCTCACGAGACCTATCTCAATTCTTTGTGAATTTTCCAGCTTTTCATTGTGTAAAGACGAGGAGGCAGCCAGTCCGGATTGCTTTGGGAAAAGAGATTTCGTGTTCATGAACAGACAAACTGTTTGCTTTGGCACAGAGTGGACGGCCTTCTTCGTGTAATGAGTGAAACGTTATGTGTTCGCCGGTGTCCCAATGAGCTGTTCTTAATAAACGAAGAAGGAAAAGTTCGCGCATCTTAAGGACTTGAAAGAGCGCTTTGTTTGTACACAAAAGTACCGTAATCGTGAAGCGAGGTGGATTCTCGTTTCCTGGACAGGAGAGCAACTGTTCGTTCATGATCGAAATGCTTGTTGATAATCGAAGATGATGAAAAGTCTGATGTGTTTATGCATAAGAAGACTTCTCTGATTCCCGCTTGAGACGAGAACGGACTTCCTATTCTCCTGAAGAAGAATTCATACTAGGACTCTCATTTGCAAAGGACAGAGGAGAATCTTCTTCGTAGCAAGAGGGGCTCCTCCCTTCGGTTTGAAAAGATGAGTGACTTTCTTCTTTGTTCTTGCAGAATGGGGATGATTCTCAGAACAGAAGAGACTTTCTCTAAAAATGGAAGGGCTATTTTTCCCATTTTCAACACGGACGGCCACGTCTCCAAAGAAGAGAAGTTGGCTTCGTATCAAGAAGAGAAAGGAAGGTCTCATCTCGTAACGGCAAGTTCTGATATGCTGTGTTGGGGAACGTGTTTTCACTGTGATGAACGATAGCCCTGCTCTACTTCTGATCAAGACTGCATAAGATTAGACATAGACCGAAGAATTTCTGGGTCAGAGCACAGACGCACACTCTGACACACTCTTCAAGAAAGCAGTCGGCGTAGTCAATCCATTTACCCATATTTACCCTTACAGCCTTTACAGTGTCTCTAGAACATTCGACAACGAGGCCGGGACCCGGCCAAGGCCTCGCCTGGACCCGGTGTTTCCGGCGCCTCCTCGCCACAAAGTAACAAGGGAGAGACACAAGAGAGACACAAGACTCAGGAGAAGTGAGCAAAGTCGTACCAGTGTGCAACCGCAGCAAAACTCACTCGCTTGACCTGTGGGACAGCAAGAAGTGAACAGAGACATAGAAAACTGAGCTCCCTTCTATTCTCTCTGGTTTACTGCATTGCCGTCCTCCGCCAGAGCCTCAAGATTCGATGAAAAAACGGAGCGGACGAGGGAACACGGTCTGTCAAGACTCTGCAAACTGAGGCCGCGGACAAGCGAGCGCACCTTGTCAGTTGCATCTTTTGGCGGCTCGGCCTGGGGCTTCACCAGTTCCTCGCAGCAAGAAGTGAACAAACTCCCCAAACCTCCCCAATGTTTCTCAAGCTTTCTTCGTTGGGCCTCCACCTTCTCCACGCAAAGCTCCGGCAAAGGTGGCAGCGTGGTCTTGTAGTCGTCAGCAGCCGCCGAACCCACGTCGGACACGTCGGACACCCTCTCGAAGAAGTCGACAGAGGTAGGAAGAGTACCATGCAACGTATGTAACGTTAGACCGTTGTCAGCGGCGGTGGCTTGAACCCGCGTGTGCCCCTTGTGTCTCTCTACTCGGGCTGCTCGGGCTCTGTCTGAGTACTTGGAGGCGTTGGAGGCATCTCGCTGAACACCAGGCGCTGCAACCGCTGCCTGCGCTGCCTTTCTCTTCTGAGACTTAGCCTCGGTTGGCCTGGGCCTGACTTGGGGCTTCAACGTCTTCGCAGTCTTTGCATTGAGCCTGTTGGATGTCAGCCATGGGCCCCAATCCTCAACGTGAAAAGACTGAAAAGCAGCAGCGAATGCAAAGCGAATGCAAAGCGAATGCAAAGCGAATGCAAAGCGAATGCAAAGCACACGTCCTCCTGGACGTGCGGTGGATCTTCCTCCTTAAGTGGCTCATTGCGAGTCGACGGCGGCCTCAATGCGGAAGGCCTCAAGGAAGGTGGCAAAGCTCCGCTTTTGGAGGCCTTCGCCTTAGCCTTAGCCGAAGACTTCTTGGATTCCCTTTCTCGATCCATCCCGTAGTCTTCGTCGTCGTCTTCGTCTTCGTCTTCGTCTTCGCAGCGGTCCTTTCTCTTGAGGGTCGTACTCGCCCCACTCGCCCCACTCGCCCCACTCGCCCTACTCGCCCTGACCAGCTTTGGGCCAGGCTCCACACGCCGGGAATAGGTCACGAGACGGGCGCTGCTCTTGGCTTTGGGCTTGGAATTGGCCAAAGCCTTCAAAGCCTTGTCCGCGGCCTTCACCTTCGCTTCGGCATCGAGCCGTGCGGAATGCCGCCTTGCAGGAGGTCCTGGAAGTCCGACCGAAGCCATACGATCCAAGGATGCCTTAAGTATTCGCAATACCGGCAATATATAACTTCAGTCAGTTCACGATGTTCACGATGTTCACGATGTTCACAAGCTTTCGTGATCTTCGCCACGTTAAACCCCAATGCCCCGTAGCATGTTGAGCTGAACACGGGCGTCCACTACTTAAATCTTTGAAATGGCCACGGCGAGCTCGATGGGATAAAAGCAAGCTTGCCTGCATAGTGATAAATGTGATAAAACCCAGTCTATTTGAGTGGAGCATATGCAAATGAACAGAGGAGACTTCCCACTCGCTCTTTTCGTTTGATTCGATGTCAGCACACTCAAGTGCTGCTTCTTCGCCGGGCAAAGCGGCACACAGCTCGACGAGTTGCGAGGCTGCCTAGGGTTTAGGGTTTAAGGTTTGAGTTTATAGGGTACGGGAACCGAAAGGACGAAACCCCTATCACCTTTAAGGTAGGTAAAGACGCCCCTATAGGCTACCATAGAATCTATGGCCCTACGCGCGCCTGACCCCTACGGAGAGGGCCCTACCCAAGCACTCTGTAGGCCCTAAGGAAATGAACTCTCACATTATGTACCCGTTCCTACATCAGCGGAAGCAACACCACGATTTTCGACGTACACTGCTTCCACGAATTGAAATGGGCAATGTCAGCTTGCATAGCTTGCCCATCGATCCAAGGCCTCCAAGTTTTGGCGGCAAAAGTAACTTGACATCAGAATCGTCCACTTCACGTCCGAAAATGTATGAGAATGACTCCCGCATGCATTTCCGGGTTTCACTTGTTTCTTCTTTTGGGAGCCTTCGTTCTTTTGCTCTTTCCTTCTTTTCGTCTTCCTGGGATGACGCTGATTTGGAGGTGGCAATTTGCCTTTTTGCACGATGGGACGAGCTCGACAAATGCCGTGTTGGTTTTCAGTACTTCTTTTCGGGCGGGGGGAGTCAACAAGGAACAAGAAACTACGAACAGCCAACAGAGTCGCGTTGCAAGCGCCAGCTTCCTGCAAGCGCCAGCTTCCTGCAAGGTGCCTTCGCCACCGACGCAGCAGCTCTCAATTGAAACGCAGCCCTTCAGTATTTGGTGCAGTCAATGCACATCCAGGAAACCTCATTGAACCGTAGCAAATTATGTTTTTTTTGGGGTTTGTTCGGGTATGTGCGTGAGTGTTGCCTTCAAAGACACGACTTCCAGAAATCTTTCCCAGTGAAAAACTTTTGAATCCGTAAAGACGCCTGCAGATTCGAATCACTCAAGTCACATGCTACATGGGAGCAACTGGTAAAACAACTGCAAAACATGATATCTGGGCATGCTGTACATCGGGAAAATCCTAAACACCCCGCCTCCAAAAGTGTGAAGCTAGGCGAAGAGTTTTGGTTCAAAGGATTCCCGATGCCCAGTTCTCAGAAACAACACAACACTTAGTTGCAAATGCTCCCGTGAAACAACTGCAGTATGTCTTTGCATCTTCGAGCTCTGCCCATGGGTCCATGTCTCAACGGGGTCCCCCACGCAGAGCGGCATCCAGAGCATCGCAGCCAGAGCATCGCATCCGGAGCATCGCATGCAGAGCATCGCATCCAGAGCAACACATCCAGAGCATCAAAATGAGGTTCGGTCCAGGGTGCGGGAAGGCGAACCAAACAAAAACTAGACCGGCCCTACCTGAACCGGGGAGACCCCCTAGCCGGCAACCCTACACAGACTGCGCACGCAGGGGGGACGAGGAGGTTGCCGGAAGGAGCTCACACGCGGCAAGGCACTCACAGGGCAGCCAAAAAAAGCTAGGGGTTTTAGGGGGTTCGGGCTTCAAGGAGGTTCGGGACTTAGGGACAACCGGGGAACCCAACATCCACTCTGTGGCCGCAAACGACAACTTCTCCTCGGATGGACCTGCACAAAAATGACTGCACAGGCGATGACACTTCTGCGCGGCCTCGTCTTCGGCATCGGGTCCAGCCCGCCCCCCGGCCCAGGAAAAAAAACAAAGAGCCACTGACAAGCACGAACACACACTCAGCCCTCAAGCATGCTGCGCGCACACATGCAGTCACTTGCACTCCACGGCCTTCGGTGGTTCTTTTTGCCACCCCTCTCGATGCTGCGCAACGTCGGCCGGTCGGCCCCGTCCCTCCCCTGTACATCGGGATCTTCCGAGACTGGCCAGACCGGGCCCTAGCCCCCGGTCGCCCTCCTTGCCCCACTCACGCCCTTTTCCACGCATTTAGGGCTTCCAGACAGAGATTGTTTACAAATTTGAAATATTGCTTGTAAGGCAGACTTAAAGGAATTTTGCTACATGTATGTGTTGAACCGGCCCTGACCCCAAGTCGCCTATGCATCTAGATACGATGCTGTCTGACTCTAAGTAACCCAAACAATTGTGCAAGGAGGGTGGACCATGCGGGCTCATCCGCTGCTCACGGCGGCGGTCGACTGTGTCGGCTCCTTGCCACCGCAGGGCACTCACAGGGCAGCCTAGTAGGGTTCAGGGTTCTGGAGGATTCGTGCGCTGAAAATCTTAGGGATAACTGGGGACCTGCACGACACGAGAGCTTAATCTAAACGTGGTGTGGCCAGGAATTAGTGACATATTTGCTGCAGTCATCTAGTTCACTACAGCAGTTGCCTAGCTCGCTACTGCTGCCGATCTAAGTGCAGCAAAAATGACCACACCAAAGACTTGCATCATGCACATCGCAAACCTTGACATGTGAAAATGAGAGACCGTGCAAAAGGATGTGCAGAGCCAGATGGTGCCTGCACAGCACTGATTCTCCGATTTCCTTCACAAATCACATCGCCCGGCCTTTCAAGTTGGCTGCCACGGCAAAAAGCCGTAGCAATCTAGCCTAGCAGTGATGCCGTCATGTGGAAGTTGAATGGCCGATCACGGAGCTGAGGATTGGGCTCGCTGGTGTCCTGACGCAGGGAGGTCGATGCGCCTGCGACGCGTCGCCACGCTCCAGCCTGCCAGAATCGGAGGCGAGGGAAGGAGCCAACAAAAAAAGTAGTCTGGGGCGCCGCGCTTCTTGTGAGTACAGGTAGATGTCGATATGCCTTGGAGCGATGTGCTTGAGATCGGGGTTCGTCTGCTTGATGGCCTCGTGACTTGGGCAAAAGTCGGGACACGAGCACAGGAAGCCGAGGCCGGGTCTGCTTTCAAGTCGTCCACATCTTTGAGGCGGCGGTCCTGCCGAAATGCGACGAAATGCGACCAAGCTCCACAAATCACATGGCAAGCGGCGTCCGATGGTCCGGCCTGAGGGGACACCTTGAACGCCTCGAGCTCGCCCTCAGGGTCCCCTTGACGAGACCAATCGGTGGGCCTCAGCTTGGCGGTGACCGTCCCATCCTGGCGAGTGGTGCGGCATGAAGTTGCAGAAACACCCCCAGCAAGGAACAGCCCGCAGCTACTCCCAACAGCGAGCAGATTCCGTACCCGACATTTGCTCTCACACACAGCACTTTCCTTGCTGTCTAGCTCCCGCACCCAGACAGTGGATGGCGCCGAGGTAGAGCCTGCAGAGCCCCGCAGAACGACATGCCGTACAAACACACATTTAAAGGTGAATGATAACGAGCCGGGTGAGGCCCACCTCGCTCCAGAAAATCACGAAGTTCTTCAGCTCTTGTTGGTGTCAATGCTCGGCTCCATGCTCGCAGCACCGAACGCCGGATGTCGATGCTGCCTTCGGCCCATTGCATGATCACCTGCTGCAACCTCTCCGCGAGCGTGGCCAGTGCGTCTGATACGCCACGCACACTGACAATCCCTTCCAAGCTCCACTCCGTTTTTATTTGGCCCAACTCGGCAATGAGGCCTACAGTGCCACGGTGATTCTTGAGATGCTCAATCACAGTGTCGTAGGACATATCGAAGAGATTTCTGAAGCTTTTGAGTTGTTCTTGCGTGGCCTCGTGGAAGTAGCTTCGAGCACCAAAGTCATGCCAGGCCATCTGGCTCTGAGTCTGACCCGTTCCGACCAGCAGAAGGTTCCCGAAATGGTTGTCGTGCAAAAACCCAAGGTAGGTCATCTTTTGCAGGTCCATGGTGTAGCCAGTCAAAAGAACCAGCAATTGCGAGATGGTCATTTGCGGGATCGACGGGCCTACAGGCCTTGCTCGATTCATGACCTCCACTTCCAGCGTAAAGGGAAGCCGCTCTTTTTTGGCAGGGTGGCACAGTCCTGGTGCATCGCCCGGTTGGCGGATGCATAAAGGAAGGTAACTTACCACTGCCGTGTCGTTGAAGCAATACATGCATGATGCTGCAGGTCCCGCTATGTCAAACACCCATCCGACTGATCGCCTGAGATTTTCACGCCACAAGAGTTCGCTATGGACTTCCCGCTTGAGGTGGATCGGTCTGATTGGCCGCGATCGCAATGTCGACAACAACCCTGACAGGAACACTGTTTCCACAAACCTTTCTTCAGCAGGCAAGTGATCGAGGTGATCCTCTGGCAGATTGATGATACCATTCTCCCTTAGGTATGGCCTCAACACCTGCAAAGCGTCGACATAGTGCTCCGAGTGGCGGTCGCCCACAAATCCGACCCGCACGACAATGTCGCCAATGTCTCTGCAAACTGCGAATGCGATCATGTTCCCCGTACCGGCAGCCCCTTCGCCGAAGTTTACTTGACAGTTGAAATATGGCTGGAGGCTTTGGCAGGTGCCTTCGTCGCACTGGCCAGCGGCAGGCACGAGCAGCAGACTGACAAGCGCAATGCGGTTCCAAACCATGGCGCGAAAGTTGCTCTCAGCCAAAACTCTAAACGGTTTAGATGGTTTAGGGTATTGGGGTACCAAGGGTTTAGAGCATCCTGGGAAAGAGTCGCAAACTCGGAAGGCCTTCCCGTGCAGTCCAGTCTAGCGACCTGTGGATATCTTGTGCTGAGCCGAATGAGTAGCCCTTTGACTCAAAAATGGGCTAAGTGTGCAATGACCACGCACACTGCGAACGCCATGAAACAAAACGCCACGATTTGC